GCTGCAGCCTCGCAGCAACAGTAGCTCATCACATGATTAACCATACTGGAATTTCCACTCCTCGTTGGAACAAGGCAGCTGCTTCTTCTCTCCTTCTGCTTATTCCCACTCATACGTCTCAGCGGTTCAGAACATTAACTTCACCGTGCGGACACACACAACAAGTCGTTCCCATTGTTGACATGCAGGAGTTCAGCTTAGTGTAGGTTCTGTTATTAATAGCTGCCTACAGACAGGCTTTTTCACTGATTCCTCACGTCACTTAGCTCCATGCCCCTCAGCCAATCAGCTGCTGGTCCCCCACTGAGCATGCTCAGTGAGGCTGTCATCCACAGTGTTGTCATTTGTCCCACGTCCTCTCCTCTCCTCTCCTCTCCTCCTGTTGTGAGAGCCTTGCACTGGTTTTATTTATTCCTAATCCACCCGTGCTTCACTTATTTTAATAAAATCACACCAAGGCCACTAACTGAGCTGCTATCGTTCACCTCCTCCTTACTTCTGCCATCTGCTGAAACTAAAATTTCTACAAATTCATTTAACTTTAATCCGATGCGACGTACATCTGAGAGCAGATACGACACCAGCGAGGATCTGGTCAGGAGAGAAGGACTTCTCTGAATTCTCTCCAACAGTGACTCTTTGCCTTTTTCTTTGCACTACAGCTATAACCTTTTCAGCTTCTAATTACTTCATCACTTTCCCTGTTACGTCTGACCTGTTCTCATGCAGTACATAATGAGAGGAGCATGTAGTGCTATTTCTGTCCTCCTTGCATGCTGGACTTCTGGACTTCAGATGCTGGTGTAACGTGTGGTGATGCTCAATGTCTTTGCACCCAGTTTATAAAATAACATCAATCTCCAGAGTCGGGCGCACAGACACAGCTGCTTTCAGCATTTTCTAAAGTATTGAAATCCTTAACTGTGAAAGAGAAATGTACAATCCCACTCTGTGTTTAAACATTCACTTTTAAGAGTGATAATAGAGTGTCATTCAGTAGCAAGTCAGGAGCAAAGACTTACAGTGTTTTATATTCATTTTTAAAAACTGGTATATGCTGTAGCCTTGAAGACAATCTAGTCCCGATAATAATGGAAGACAGAGGCCAGTGTGGGCATCGACCGGCGTGAGAGCTTCTGTAAATACACCCCGCGATGGGAGGAAAGCGTGTGACGGGTGAGAATCGGGGTGTATGAAACGAGCAAACATGGCTGCTGCTCTGAAGCTGTGACTGAAGCAGTTCTCCTCCTGCACACTCTGTTCGTTCGCTCTGCATTCCAGCCAGACAGAAAAAGCGACCTCACTAATCTGGTTGGGTGTAATCTCATAATCTGAACCTGACCGCTGCGTACACACTTCCACACTGAGCTCCACCTGTCCACCGACCAGCAGGCCCGACGCATCGTGGCCCTTTTGTAAAAGAACCGAGCCAATTTCTTTTAACCCAGAAGTAGATTAACATGACGAAGACTAGAGACTGAGGAGCGCAGATGTTTGGAGAGAAAGAGCAATGAGACGATTTCATCCCTTTTAGCAATAGTGAGACAAAAACATGTAAATTTGGCCTGAGGGTGGAAACAGAGACGAGGCCGGAGGGTCACCTGAGTCAAACAGCGAATCCTCTCCAGCTGTACATCGTCAGACTTTGTTAAACTACGACGTGCTGACGTGCATGTTCAGAAGCTCACTGCTGTTTATTAAATGTTAATGTCAAGCCCAGGTTACTGTCATGGTGCTGTACATCCACAGCAGTACAGGCAGGATGAGAGAGCATCTCTTCAGGATCCAGGAACTTAAAGCAGTTTAAATAAACAAGTGTTTGCATGTCTGGATCAGAAGCTGCTGATCAGTCTGGAGGTTCTTCCTTTAACGCTCCAGAAACGTTTTCCTGATGGCAGCAGTTCAGACGGTTGATGGAGAGGCTGTGAGGAGTCCCTGACCATGTTCAGGGTCCTGCTCCTGCAGCAGCTCTGGAGAAGCTCTTGGACAGAGGAGACCCTCTCAGCTCCTCTAACTGTCCTCTGCAGGGCTTTGTGTCTGACACACTGCAGCTGGAGGACCATGTGGAGATGCAGGATGTCAGGACGCTCTCCAGTATCACGCTCTAATATGCTGAATCCGGTCATGTTTTTACTCACTGTGAGCTCATTTCTATGGAAACAAAACAGCCGTGGCTCAACGATGTCGTTTTGCAGCGTAATGCAGTCATAACTCCACAAATCATAAACATGGGGAACAATGAATATCTTCCATTATTCCTTTAGGTTGAAAACATCTGGAAAATAAATTTACAGCATTTGATCAGGTGCTCTCAGATGTTACTGACAACTGGATGAACAGAAATGATGATGTTGTAGTTTTGTTTTCACGCTGACCTCCTGCTCTGCGTGAACACAGCACATCTCAGAATATCTGTCTCAGCCCAGTCAGTCGTGGGTTTTGCTCAGTCGAGGAGTGCCAGATGTTTTGTTGTTCACAGAATCCAGATCGTGCAAATGGAATAATTTGTCAACTTTTTAAACAAAGAATTTTTGAATCAACATCAAGATGTTGGGCTTAAAAGTGGTTAATTCTCAGAGTGGTCACATGATGAGGTTCGGTCTGACTTCTGTTTTCTGACTCTGGTGTCGTTCTGGCAGTGAAACAGCCACTTTACTTCCTGCTCATCCTCATGTAGATGACATCATCCATCACTGTCAGGAAGCAGTGATAGACTGGCTATAAAACAAGGTGTAGCTGGAGGAGATATTACACAATGCCTGTAAATCTGTCCCGTCACCCCGTGTGTCCGTGTGCTTCCTGAACGCCGTGTTTCAATCTGACCTCCAGGCTGTTGACAGACTTTTTTTTTCTCCTCTCACCCGTCGTTTTCAAACACATCCCCAATAAAGCAGGACAGCTGCTACCGTGGTGTAATGTTCAGCAGTAAATCTGAGGGCCTTGAGCTGCTGACTGACAGAAAACTCCAAAGGTGTTACTTCTAAGTGCTTATTTAGTACCTCTGATAGCACTGATATGTTTTGATGCTGGATGATTTATCGAGGCTGCGTTCAAACAACAATGCATGAGTAAACCCATTTTAGTGGAAACATTAGGTCTCAGCGCGGTAGCTTTCTACGGCAGTGCCACCCACGTATTCTGGTCCCTGTTAGCAGCATCATCTGTCACTGATGGTCCGGCAGTGATAAGAGCTGGAGCAGCCTCGTCACCTGTGGGTTGATTTCACGTCAGTGGCCGCCTCTCGTAGAAAAGCCTGCAGCATCTTCCGGCCCATCTGCTCCACCTGCATCCGTCCCCAGAGCTACATTAGACCTGCACGGTGCATTTAAACCTCCATCAACTCTTCTCCATCGTTTCTGCTGCAGGTGAACCGGAGCTGGTTAACACCTCACCTGTTGCTGTGTGTTGTCATACAATATGTAAATCTATGTACAATATAAATTACATATGAAATAAACTACAAGTTACAAGGAAATATAGATGAAGGGAATTTAAAAAAAATTAACCAATAAATAATTCTGATGTCCCCTCCTATTAAAGAAAAGGCCAAACTCACAACAGCCACTCAAATAACTAGAAACTGGAAAAAGTAATAATAAATAAAAATTACTAAACTATAATTTAGTGAAATGGGAGTTGTGGTTGAAAAGAATAAAAATAAAAAACAAAACTGTGGTGGACCAATGAGAGGCCTTTGCTGATGAGCAGTGGTCCAGAACACCTGTCAACAGGTGCAGAAGTCTGACTGAGAGTTACAGGAACACCTGATTGGCTCAGAGGGTTGTTCAGCTACATGTTAGTCCACCAGGTCCCATCAGGCTGTTTGTTGTTTGTTTGTTTGTTAGCTTTTTCCTTCTTTAATAGGAGGCTGTGAACACGTCTGAGGACGACTGTATGGATCTACATGTGAGTACAGGACATATCTGGTTGTTGTATTTCTTCTCATACGTCTCCTCTTCTAAAGAATCCTGCTCTTCCTTTCACATGAGTGCATTTCACTTAAACTCCATGAACAATAGTGACCTTGCACTGACGAGGCTCCGGCTGATTCCTCAGACTCTCCGTCAGCCTGCTTTGGCAGCAGCTGACGTGTTGCCGGGTTAGAACCATATCATGTGTGATGAAGCACAAACCCGACCAGATGGACCGGCTTGTTTACACTCTCATGACAGAAGGGCCAGGTGATATAGCTGTTGATGTTTTCTCAAAGGTCGGTGGAATTAAAGGCTGTTATTTAACCCTTTGCTTTTGTCTGGCCTAAGCCGTGTGAAGCGCGCTCGCATTTCATCCTCAGAGAAACAGGAAGACGTTTAGCAGAAACGGCCGTCGACTCGGTGAACTCAGGAGGAAGTCGTCGGTTCTGATCTGTTCTGTGTTCTGACCTTCTGGGTTGTTGTGTCTCGCTGTGAGAGCCGTGATTGTCAAGGTTTTGCAATATAGAAGTTGTGTGTGAGGCCTGACGGATGCACGCTGAGTTAAAGTGAAAAGCTGTCTGCATATTCTGTAGATGGAACGTTTTCACCCATCGATGTGAATGACTTTTTTTATCTGGACAATAACTTCTGTCTCTGAGTGGGTAATGACTGAATGCCCTCAGAACATCATTTCTGTGTATCAGTCGGTTCCAACCCACTTCTACTTTCAGGGCAGTTTTTTATTATTTTATTTTATTGTGTTCGGTTTCTAGAGCAGCGGTTCCACTCGGGTGAAATTGAAATTGTAATGACCCAGACTCCCATTATCCGCAGTCGTGACGATGAATAGGTGTTGTTAGAATTGCTTTTTGGACAAAGTGCCTCTGTCTGTTTTCCTATTATTAGGAAACAAGGACAGCAGAAAGACTCCGACGCATTTCAGTGCTATTAAGAAACGACACTTTGATTCAGCGTGTGAAAGCCTGTCTGGCAGCAGAAGGACCTCAGGGTGGATTCAGCATCTCCATCTCAGTGTGACGCCACTCAGGCTAATGCCCCCCAAACACAGGAAGCAGCCTGTTATCGATGACCTACTTATCTGCTCCTTACTCTTCCTTCCAGGTGCTGGAAAAATTCATGTCTCGTCTGGTCCAGAACCGCGTGATGGCCCACAAAGACCTGCGAACGCTCAGCAAATACCAGCTCATCCTGGCCAGGGATCAGTTCCGCAAGAACCCGCCGCCGAACGTCAAGGCATGGACACAAAATTCTTTAATTTAGTTTTTTTCCATGATGTACACAGCTGATTAGAATCACAGGTGCTGCTTTTATATGAGAGTAAAAGGACGAATCAGAAATAGAACTAAAAACATCACGTGTCCCAATTTAGTGTTTAGTAGCATCATTAATTAGTTTACTAACAATTTATTATTTATCAGAGAACTTCTGCCTCATTCAAGGCTCCAGAAACGTGTGTCCAGTGCAATATAATGTACATATGATCTTTCTAAATATTAAATCTGATCCTTGTCCTTGGCAGCTGAATGAAAACAGATGTTTGGATGTTCTGGATAATCAGGGCTCACTAATGAACCCTCAGAGTGTTCTTATTGTGTTAAGTGGGAGTCCATGAGATGGCACCAGGATTTACCCACAACTACAGGACCAGGCTAAATACATTAAATGTGTTACTACGTTGATGAAAGTAGGTCGTTAATCTACTTTGAGATCCAACAAAAGAGTAATTGGTACAGTTGATGACCTGTATTTATGTAGTTCATTAAAACCAGGAGATCCCCCCACAATGGGTGAAGAATAGAAATATACACAAATAAAAGTGGTACAAATGATATCAAACATATCAGCACACAATAAAAATAAAATAAAAGGAGTGTAAGAGATTATACAGATGGTGAAGCTCATATGTAGAATATTTCCTTGGTTCCAAAATCAATTGGAGCATCTTTATTTGCTGCTGACACCAGATATCCAAACACCAACCACCTCCACCCAGCTGGAATCACTGCAGTCACACACAGCTCTACATGTTTTACCTTCTGGACACTGGAAGCTCTGGTGTTTCAGCGTCTCTACGAGCGTTTTCCAGTTTGACAGAACAGTCCCATTCTAACCACTGGTCCTCCTGCAGGGCCGGGAGCAGGGCATGCTGGAGGGCGACTTTGCCCTCTGCATCAGCCTGTACCACGGCTACGAGCTGCTGATGCAGATGGGGCTCCGCTCGCTCTTCTTCTACATCCAGGGCATCATGGACGGATCCAGAGGTCAGTCGCCTCTCCTCCACACTCCTGTCCACAGAGATGCTGATTGACGGACTGTTTCTGCTTCGGCAGATCATCCATCAGCGCCCCTGGGTGTTTGTCCTCCCAGCAGGATGTAATGTTTTGCTGTTTGATGTGAGCTCTCTCTTTGTTTGGCTCAGAGATGTCCAGGGCCAAGAACGAGCTGCAGAGGACGCCCATGTTCATGGCCCTGTACCAGGAGATGGAGACGATGTTCATGAAGCCATCTGCTGGTACATCAGCTCTCATTCATACTGCAAAGTTCAGACTTCTAGACCTGCTGTGTAGTGAGATGAAGCATTTTCACGGAAAGTTCTGCAGACAAAACAAAAGGCCTCCATTTACAAAGTGTTTTAAAATACATTAGTGAGTGTGTGTCCCTCTGATTCATGTTTCAGGTCCAGATGAGCCGTTCATTTACAGCCACCCCAAGCTGCAGAAACTGGAGGATGTTGTGCTGCAGCATTTCAGACTGTGGGCTGAGAGCTCAGCTGGCAATAATGGTGATTTACTTAATATAGCAATGCTATGCAGTGACTCATCCACGGCATGATTGTTCTAGGTCAAAGCTGAGATGTATTATTCTCCTCAGACTGCATCAAAGCAGAAGCAACCGACGTTATGATTAAGTTGTTTAAACGTTATTGCTGTGATTACATTCAACAGGCGACGCTGGAGTTTTATCGTGTGATGTTTGTAGCTTCTGTGAGATTCCTGCTAAATTATTATCACCACAGCGGCCACACAGAGTCCAGAGCTGCTTGCACAACACGTATCCAGAGACAAACGGACTTCCTGAACAAACAGAAGCAGTAAAAGCTTCCAAAATGCAGCAATCTGTGCAGCACAGTTTGATCCAAAACCTGAAAACAAAAGTCAGAAGCATTTTTCATGAGGAGACGTGTTTACTCTGAGCGTGTTCAGATTGGAGAGGATCAAAGACGGGATGCATTCCAGTGGATTAAAACCATAAATACTGAAAGAATTCAGCTCAGAAGAAAGGAATTCTAATCAGGTCCTCCTCTGTCTCCTTCATGTCCAGCTTCGGGCTCTGAGGACGTCAGCACACGCGTGATGATCTTTTCCTCGTTTCGGGAGAGCGTGCAGGAGATCGCGGCCATGTTGAACCGCCACGCTCCGCTCATCAAGGTCATGACCTTCATGGGTCAGGCTTCGGCCGGGAAAGGAGTCAAAGGCTTCACCCAGAAGGAGCAGCTGGAGGTAGGCACTGGTTCCTGTTGTGGTATGACAACTTCTAGAACGTCTTTCCTGTTCAGTCGGTCAGCATCAGTCACACAGCAACACCGTCCCAAAGCCTGGAGAGTGTCTGAAGCTAAAGCGCTAACTGCTAAGCTAAAGTACGAAGTTTCAACAGCCCAGAAAAGGACTTTCTGAGTGTATGATGACAAAAAATCTTCACGTTTATCACTATTATGTAGGGATGCACGATATATCGGCGTCCACATCGGTATCGGCCGATACATTGGTATCGGTCCGATGAGCAAGTTTAGCCGATAATTGTCCAACATCAGCGCTTTCATCTCTACGTCTGATATCGCTGCTATTTCACAGATGTTTTACTTAAATGGTCCTGGACTGAACATTAAATATGTTTAAACATGTTTTACTGTTGTTTCGTAATAAAGAAGACTGTGTGGTCTAATCCGGGCCTCTTCTGAAGAGTTTCCTCACAGTGCTGACTGATGCTCAGTTTTCAGTGTCAACAAAAACTGAATATCGACATCGGTTATCGGCGATATCAGAAATCTTAATATCGATATCGGCCAGGCATTTTAATATCGTGCATCACTACTATTACGCAATATGTTCTCTTCATTTGCACAATATGACTCCTGATTTCCATCAAAACACTTGATGAAGCATTGTGACGTTTAGCTTTCCCAGTTCTCTGGTGTGCAACAAAAAGTCTGTCAGTAGTAGGAAATAAATAAACGTTTCAACAACAACTCCAACAGCTCCTACATAGTCAGAAATATCAGTATAATTTACCGTCCACCCTGTGTCTGGAGATTCATGCAGAAAGGTTCCTGTCTCCCTCCATAGTGGCGACGTGTTGTGGTTCTGAGGTTGACTGGTATCATCAGGTGGTATGATGTGAGTCTGTAAACCAGTATTTTTACGTTATTTGTACTGGTGGTTGCTTAACGCTGTGGTTCCTCTATGCAAAGAGCCTCCACCCTCTCAGCAAATACTGCATATAATGTCCTACATGCTGCTCCACACATACAATAAACAGATCAGGCCTTCTTCTTTAGGACATTCATGAAAGCCTCAGTGTGTTGGATCAGAGAGTTTTCCTATTTATGCTGTTCTTCTTCTCCTGCAGGTGGTCCACAGGTTCCGACACGGAGGCTTCAACACGTTGGTGTCCACTTGTGTGGGCGAGGAGGGCCTGGACATCGGAGAGGTGGACCTCATTGTTTGCTTTGACGCACAGAAGAACCCCATCCGCCTGGTGCAGCGGATGGGACGTACTGGACGCAAGCGGCAGGGACGCATCGTGGTCATCCTGGCTGAGGGACGGGAGGAGAGGGTGGGTGTCCTTCAGTGATGTCCACCTAGTTAAACCCCGCACTGATTCATGACCTGTACCGTAATGTCAGCCTCTGTGTTCCCCAGACCTACAATCAGAGCCAGAGCAACAAGAAGAGCGTGTACAAGTCCATCATAGGGAACAAAAGCGGCTTCCACATGTACCCCAACAGCCCCCGCATGCTGCCGGACGGGCTGAACCCCCGCCTCCATAGAATGCACATCACCTGCGGCCAGTTCGACCACCGGGACACCAGCAGGCGGTCCGGTGGGGGCCGGCGCTCCCACTCCGGGGGACGGGCCTCGCTCATCCACCCTCAGAACCTGAGTAAGCACAAGTGGAGTCGTTTGTTGTCCTGCAGGAGTTTCCTGTTTCCAATGAAAATGGGTTTCTGAGTTTGTTTTTATGTGACGGCAGTTCAACAGGCCAGTGCCACGTCTGACGGGTTTCTGAGCAGCGCCGAGTATTCGCTGTGGGCGTCCACCATGAGGCTGGAGGAGCACGAAGCTCATCCCACCCTCAGACAGTCACACTTTGTGTCCATACCCAGCGACCCACCACCTCAGGTCTCTTTTATTTACAGCTCTGCAGGTTTCTGATTGAGGAGAACATTTTTTTTAGAGGTGATCTTCAGGTTAGCGTGCCACGACAGCCACATGAGAGAAATCACATGTTTTGTCTGTGTTTCACGAAGACAGTGTTTGAAAACATGCAGAACCTGAATGGATCTGAAATATCCTCGTATTTAAACGCTGATATCGTTTAACAGCATCAGTGGTTTCAAAATTCCAGAAAGAAGCCCCCAGTTATTTAAAAATAATCAGGATGCTTTGAGTGGATCTCTGTGGACAGGAGGTTGATGTTAGTTCCACTTTTCAGGTGGAAAAACCTCCGGCTGGAAAATCCTGCATGGAAAAGCCATCATCTATTCAAATATAATGTTTCTGCTTAAACCTGGTTTTGTTTTGTTTTTTTAGCGACAGGAGGAAGTTTCCGACAGCGGCCCAGCGGCCAGGGAGCTGTCTCTGTGGGAATGGAGGCACTGGCAGCACAAGGCGCTTCCCTTCCACGCCGTGGATCATTCCCTCCGCTGCAGCCACTTCGTCAAGGTGATGGAGCTCATAGACGGTATGAAGGAGGAAAACGAGGTGAGAAGGGCAACAGCTGAGTAACGTACCGTCGTTCTGTCGGCACCGCGGCGGCATGAAGCCATTAGCGTCTGTTATGTGGCACGAGTGGGAATTAGGATGAAAATAAACGAGTCTCGAGTGCGTCCAGATAGATCAGAGGTCTGACTCAGAGTGTTTCTGGTGATGGGTTATAAAATGGCATCTTACACAAATCCTGCTCAGTTTCATAATGAAAGCCAGTTCACTGAAGGCCGAGTCAAACTTTACAAACCGGGAGTCAGCTGAGTCGCATGTGAACGCACAACTGTGGTTTGTGTTGAGTTACAAAATTCCGGGTTCTGACCGAAGAGGCAGATTCCTCTCATGATTAACAGGCGCTGTGGCGTAATCGTGGCTTCAGTTAGTTTATAAAAAACAACAACAGATAAATGGTTTATATTTAGAAGGGTGTTTCCAGGCTGCTGCGTTTGTGTCTCATGAATTGAATTCAGCAAAAAGAGCATGAATGAGCAGCGTCACGTCTCCGCTGTTATCGAGCTTTTCTTTAAGCTGCACCAGAACCAGAACCAGTGCTTTTCCGTTGTCTTCACAGAGGAGCCAACCTGTGTTCTTGTCCTCGTGGATGCGAAGCTGCTGAATGTTTAGTTCACCCGCTGACCCGGCAGCGGCCCGGTTCATGAACTCTGGCTGACAGACGACAGCATGTTGTTGTTTTCTTGGGCTGAATGGATCAGTTCTATCAGCGCAGTCATCAGATCTACTGGAGCTGGACGCACAACAGTTGTGGTTTTGTCAAATCTACACAGCATCTGAAGCAGGAGGGGGACAGAACCGGCTCCGAAACCAGACGGTCTTGTTTTAGTGTGATTAGATAATCATTATGCCACCGGTAATTTAACCACAGGTACCGTCTCTCTGACCCTGTTTACGTTCAGCCGACCCGTCCCACTGCACACCTTATCACCAAACATCTCCAAACGGTGTTACGGCGCCTCCTCCTCTCCTCGTCTGCTCTTTCGCCATCGATAAGACGCCCGAATTTGTTCAAATCCTTGAAATTGGGTCAGAGATTATGGTAAAACTGGCTATTGGCTGAAATAACAAGCAGGCTCTTATTACCAGTTTTTTTTTCCACTGTAGGTCTTGGCAAAGCTCAGGAAAGGAGAAAATTAACCCACCTGTATAAACAAAACAGGATTACTCAGTGAAATGGCGGCTAATGTCTCACATGCCTCCAGGACGAATCCAGGTCACCAAACAACCTTGGAGCTCGTTTCACTCATTTGACCGAGTTCGAATGTGACTGTATCGTCTCCCAAAGTAAAGTAAACCCTGTTGACATATATCGTTTATTATTATTATTATTATTATTATTATTATTATTATTATTATTATTATTATTATTANTTATTATTATTATTATTATTATTATTATTATTATTATTATTATTATTATTATTATTATTATTATTATTATTATTATTATTATTTTTATTTTTATTTGTCTGTTTTGCTGCTGAATGTTCCGTCATGTTCGACTGTGGCTGAGCAGGAGGTTTAGAGCTTGTTTTCCAAACACGACACTTCAGGAGCCATGAAAGTAAAGCTGTGGCTAAATAATCAGCTGAACGTCCCTGGACTCATAAAACTAGAGAGTTTCTAAGTTCATCACCGTAACGAGGCCCGTTACAGTCAGACTGATGGATCTCCACAGTCCTCATTTGTAATCCTAATCATAGTAAATGTGTAGATGTTTAGACATAAATGAACTGGTCTCCAGTCACGTACATGCTGTAGGTTCAAGGCCAGAGTTATATAGAAACCTCATCAGGTCATGGAGTCTGATGAGAAAACATCCTAAAGGAGCCGAACCAACATCAAAGACCGTTTTGTCTTTCACAAAATGAAATTAGATTCAGTTTTCAGTGGATGAAACGCAGTGTTTGGAACAGAACAGCGTTTCTTAGAAAGACGTGGTGAGTGTTCGGGTCGCACCGGAGCGTTTTCATAAGATCTGTTTGACATCAAACCCAACATGTTCTTCCCCTGAAACGCTGCCGTAGCTCAAATGTGTTTGAAGACCACAAAGACTGTTTCTCTGCCCAAACAGTGTCTGCTGGTTTTCATTTATCTGAGTCCCAGTCAAGAGTTTTATTCATTTTTATAAAATCCTGATTGCACCACACACACAGAAGTGATTCTTCTTCCAGCGTTAACGCCGCTTCCTGGTTCTCCTCCTGCCGCTGACGGACAGCGCTCGTGGCCCGTGGCCCGGCCGCGGTCCGGCGCTCACCGTGGCTCGCTCGGTTGGCCTCAATCTGCAGAGGGGCCTTCTGAATCTTTTTGTTCCAAACAAACGTTTAAAAAAGAAGCACCTAGATTGAAGGCCAAACACTATTTTCCTTAGAACTGGTCCCACACCTTTCTCCTCCTCGCCCCACAAGCCGTTCCAGTCCTTTAAGGCCTTTCATGCCAGTCCAGTGAGTGTTTCTCATTGCGCTGCCTCGGTCTCTGTATGATGAGAGACTCATGGCAGCAGCAGGCAGCAGGCCTCCTCTCCTGTGATTACATAACAGTTCTCTGAACTGTTACATAAAGCCAGGAAGCTGGAAGTAGGTCGGGCCTCGGTGACCTAGAATCTCAGTCATTAAGCTCCACTGCTGCATCCGAGGCGTCGAGCGCTCTGCACCCAATTAAAAAACACACGCAGAAAACTTTAAAGTACAAACTAAAGAGAATTAAAATGGTGCACAGGTTGCCCTTTCAGATGGGTTGTTGCCTGTGGATGGTTATCTGCAGACAGTTGTTCCTGATTGTGCTGGTTTAGTTGTTTAAAGAGCCAGACAGAACCAGTTTCTGGATCCACTGCTTCTCTGCAGCATTCAGCACATTATTCCACAAGACAGAAGCGCTGGTTCATTTTCACACCTTCGTATTGTAAAAACAGTGTCTTGCTTTGTGTTTGTGGGACTTTCCGGCCGAGGACTCGTGTCTCACACTCGCTTACTGTTGACGTCTGGACGTGTTGCAGCTTGACGCTGTTGCCTGTCTGGTGAGGAGGCAGCTTCCAAAGCCTCATGCTGTGCCTTTGGATCGCTCTCTGCTTTTGTTTTTTACTCAGATTCATAGATTTCTCAGTTGTCGTCTCAGGGCCAAACAAGCCGAAACGTCTACGCAAATCCTCGCTGTTTGCGGCCCGTGACTTTAGCTGTTATTGTCTCGTAGCAGCTGAAGCGCCTCTAATCCTCATTTGACTCTGATGCCTCTTGCATGTTCAGTTTGCTGCAAGTCTGAGTTTCATTTGAATGGAGGGCAGGTGGTGCTGTCAGTGTGTCACCAATCAGAGAACAAAGGCGCCCCGGGACGCCTCATCCTGTTTGGAAACAGAGCAATGAAGACTCATTAATAGAGACGAAGCTGCTCTGTGTGCTCATGAGCATCGCCTCCTACGACCGGTGCTATGAGACAATCGGCACAGAGAAGTTTCCTTCAGCGCTCGGCGTGAAACGACGTGAACCGTCTGACCTTCCAGACCTCCGCGGCGCTGGTTCTGTTCTCAGCATCGAGGTTGTTTTATGCTTCCACATCTCTACATCCAGAGACTTAATCTGATCGTTAATTAATTGCACATCGGGGACGTTGAGGTTAATCCTGCATGAATCCAGTTCTAGTCATTATTTTTCAGCGGCAAGGAGCGTCGGAAAAGGTGTGGGAGCTCGTTAGAGATAAAACAAACTCCATGATGTCCAGTGCAGCTACGTCCTTGACTGTCTGAACGCCCTCGTTTTGTTTTTTGCTCTTTTAGTTTTTTGCTCTTTTAGTTTTTTGCTCTTTTTGTTTTTTGCTCTTTTAGTTTTTTTCTCTTTTAGTTTTTTGCTCTTTTTGTTTTTTGCTCTTTTTTTTTTTTTTTGCTCTTTTTGTTTTTTGCTCTTTTTGTTTTTTGCTCTTTTGTTTGGTTTGTTTTTTCTGGTTTCCGTGTTGAGACAATGTGCTGCAGCTTTGGTCGTTTTCAAAACAGACGGCTCAGAGCGAAAGCTGCATCTACAGTAAGGGCTGCAGAAGTTTGAAGGATTAGCATAAGATGGATTACCCTAAAAAAGAAAAGCAGTTCTCAGATTTATCACAATGCTGTCGTATGAACACGTTGCTGGTGCAGCAGAATCAGCCCGGCTGGTCGGTACCACACCAACCTGTTGTCCTCTGAACACACTCATGCATATGGAGCAGCGTGCAGCCCCGTAAGCATCGCCTCGCTGTTTATGTTGGTTTCAGTTAACCCTTCCAGCACTACAGGTCGCTGTACCGGTCTGCAGCTTTCACCCCGTCAGAGTAAACTTCCAGACATATGTAACCGTCAACTCGTCTGCTTCTGATTGATCCCAGATATGTGATGATGTGACGTCTGCTGAAGGATTCATGAGTAATTAATCTAAACCATGTCTGATCTGAGTGTTGAGATAAAAACACAACATCCCAGTTTGTCATCCACAAACTCTCCTGTTGTACTCTACTGAGCAGACGTTTCACTGATATAGAGGAAGATATCAAACTGTTATCCAATTACTAAAACAAAGAAGCTCGTGTGTAACCATGGCGATGACTTTCTTCACTGTGATCAACAAAGAAAAACATATAAATATAATAATAATAAATATGGGCAAACTAAATGGACTGTAGATGATTAATGAATACACACATTTTGTATTTGACCAATAAACCTTTTTTTACAGCAGAGATGAATCCTAGCAGGTGAGGCGTATTCGCCGAGCTCCTCTTCCAGCTGCTGTGCATGCTGGGTAATCGGCAACCTCAAGGGCTGAAAAATAAAAATGGCGAAAAGTGAAAGTCCTCCAGCAGTCAGTCAGTCAGTCCCCCATGTGTAGTGTCCTCAGCTGTCCTGCAGAAATAAACAGGTTTTTATTTTATTTTATTAAATTTTTATTTCATTTATTGAGTTAAAACAATTAAACGTGACACAAACGTTCCTGAATGAAAGGAGCAGAAAGAAGATTAATCTGATGCTATCGGCCGCCTTTAACCAAAGAAGTTACAGAAAGCATCAACAACACGATAAACACCAAAATATTCACTATAAAACAACAACGACATGAAACAGCCGTCCTTCAGTCATTATTTACTCTCTACAGTCAGACATAATGAACAGATCTCCTCAACAGACTGCCTTTAATTGTTCTTTAAATGTAAACCCTGATGATGTTTCCAGCCTGGTTCAGATGGTCCATGGAGCTGAATTCCATGTCCATGACGACTACACGGGGCGTGAGCTTTTACATAATTCACCCCTTTAAACCGTATTAAGGCTTCACACAGCTGAGGGCGTGGCGGCTGTGAGCGACGCAGGAGTGCCGCTTTGAGACGCTCCACAGCGCTGAGACGTCGGCTTTCTCCACCATCTTCCTCATTTCTGGATTAGCGGGGAGTCGGGTGGAGTCGGGCCATGATGACCCTCAGATTTCACCACACGGCGGCTCATCCGTCTGCGTAGAGTCACTGATGGAAGCTCGCTGTCATGTTTACTGGTGGAGTCATGTGACTCACCGCCATCAGACGGAGGCAGAAGCAGGTTTGTTGTTTGTTCTGCTGCCTGTGTGGCACCAGGAGGCAACAACAAGCAGCAAGCTCACCCTGAACATGTTCTGCAGAGGAGTTAGATCGTGATCAATAAGGCCGCCGTGCTCCTATTTACAGTGGATTATACATTTTAGCTGTGATTGGTTTGAATCACGTGTCAAACACGAGGCCCGCGGGCCAAATCCGGCCCGCCATGTCGGTTTATGTGGCCTGTGAGAGATGTGTTCCCTCGTCTGATAGATTAATGAGATTTACATAATATAACATAATATAATGTTATAAATCAGGTTAGAATAACGCAGCAATGTACCTACACATATTTTATTTTAGGTAAAGACGTGCACAGTATTTGTACTTAGAATAAACAATCAAATGCAGAGACGATTATTTAACAATACGTTCAGGAGACGTTACATTCAATCAGTCTTATGGTTACAGCTGGATGCTGATGTGGCTCCTCTGGTTTAAATACAAACAAACCAGTCAAAGCATTTTTATATTTACCTACAACAGAAGGACAGTGTGGTGCTGCTGGACCACTGTGTTCTGACGATGGGTTGGCTGTTTGTATTTTTAATTTGTCCAAATGTCTGTGAGAAAAGCCTTTTCAGTGACATTTAATAGTACATTTTTATTTCGTCCTCCGTGCTCATTGGCTATCTGTGACTTCTATCCCTGTGAGCTCCAACCATCCAGTCTTCTCTCCCGACGCTCGTCCCGCCATAATCCAGGCTGAGCTCTGCCCAATCAGTACGGCGTCAGACCACCGGTGGAGCTCCAAGCAGCAGCACAGCGTCCACCGGCATGCGTTAACTGTCCCGTTTCCAAGATGATTTCTGTTAAATGAACATGTTTTATTTGATCCTAACATCACCGATGACGTCAGCCCGGCCTTGGCTGCCAATTAGTGAAGTGACGGCTCAGAGATGTAAACAGATTGCTTTTTCCTCTTTGTTCTGTCAGAAGCCTCACCTGTGGAAAGTATTTGGCCCTCGGTGAGAAAACCGAGCGCTGAAATGTTAATTACAGAGTGAGCTTGTTTGTCTAGTTGAAGGATTAATGCAGCTCAAGGTGTGAAGTCATACTCAGAAGAAGTCATCGTGGTTGTTTAAGACGATAAATCTCTTTGGTTTCACTTTGTCAGGGTGGAACGTTTTCTAACTGACAACTACAAACTTTATAAAGAATCCAGGCGACTGAGTGACTTTCTCCTGAACAACCCTCCTGCCTGTTCCTTATGGAGCCGTCTGTAGGATTCTGACCTGTTTGGTTCCTGACAGATGGATCCTGATGTTTGGATTCTCTGACTTCTCCTTAAGCACAGCCATGAGGTTGACATTTGGTTTTTAATTAAATACGTCACCAATTACTTGACTGATTACCGTGTCATTTGGTTTGAAGAGCTCTGTGGTCACAAGAAGATGAGCTATAAAGCCGGTGGTGTTGTTTTCTCCCTGTAGCACCATCAGCAGACCAGATGATCCTTTTCCTTAAAAATAAAAAAAGACTCTTTGGTACAGATGCTCCTTGTGCCTCTAATGACCGTGGTGGAGCCCTGGTCTTCCTCTGGCACCACCACGGTGTTGGTGTTCTAGTTTTTAGGTCAAACATCTCTATGATCCTGGATGGATTCAACACAGTCACGTTCCCTTCAGTGATGCTTAAATGTTCTGCTGTTTGCTTTAAACATAACAACAGCTTTCCAGACAGACACATCATTAAATCTAGATGGTCAGTACGCAGGTCTCAGCTCGTTCAGCTGATGTGTGACTTATTCCACAGTTTATGTGCCATGACAGCAAATTCACAAAATCCCAGACTTACCAACTGGGAGTGTGTCTGCTGGTTGGTATGGGCTTTGTAGGTCACAGATATAGCTCCCATTCAATCCATTTAATGCCGTGTTGTGGAGTAATTGGGGTAATGTGTTCTCTTCTTGTATTTCACAGCTTTGCAGTTGTGTTTTGGGTTTAGTGCCTTTTTACTGAGACCAGACAGAATGCAGTTAAACCAGACGGATGTTAAACATGCATACAACCTGTTTTTCTTTTTTCATACGTTTGGTTCTCTTCTGTTTCATTTCCACCCTCTATCTGGTGCAGTATGTTTCTCTCCGTACACCCTCCACATTAGCCGTCCTCTCCTTCCTGCTCTCGGCTCACTGAGCATCGTCCTCCTGCTGGCCACAGGTTCGATGGCGCCCTGTCGACCCACCAGGACACCACTCCAGATGAATCATTTCCAGGACATGTGGTCTGTCCAGATGACAGGTGCTGGAGGAGTCCAGCCTGTGTGTGTTCTCATTTGGAGCAAATGCACACATCTATTGTCCTGTTGAAATGACTGTCCTGGAGAGAAAAAGGAAATGAAGTGGTTCTCGTTCTCGCTGTTTCATAAAAAAACGATGAATTGAAATGTTACGTCAGGCTTCTGTGCGTCCATGTGCGGCTGCAATGTGACATCTCTGTTCAGAGGAGACTTCCTGATTAGATTACTGTGTGAACACGAAGAGACGAGCTGCTGGATCGGTGAAGTGGTCGCTCTAAATGCCACGTCTGCTGCGTTAAAGGTTTCAGGTCTGAAGTTTGATTGCAGGGATCTGTTCTGATACGACTTTCTGTGTTTGTGTTCAGGGGGAATGTCGTTACGAGAAGGAGCTCCTCCCCTACCTCGACGAGGGCGACGGCGTGAAGAGCAGGCAGAAGAAACCGAAGGCCACAAAGGTTAAAAGGACCAACAGTAAAGCCAAACCGTCGCACTCGTCCTGGTCTGAACTGGAATGCATCGACGAGGAAACGGACACACGGACGGCGGGGTTGTTTTCCGCTCTGGCCACGACGAAACAGAGGCTACCTGTTGAGCGTATCGACGGCGTCAGAGGTCCCTCAAGACTCGAAGCGGTTGGTTCCGACTGTCCGGTCGCTGATATCGACGACGACTGTGTCATTGTCCGTGAGGATGCAGTGAAAGACGATTTAGATCCTCTAAACTCAGACGATGTCTCACAGCTGATTGCTAAAAACGATGAAGACGTTGAACTTCAGGCGATGTTCTACCTTCCCAGATGGGATTCGGCGCCGCTGCTGCGCTCTGACAAGCTCCTCCCAGCGACGGACGAGAGTCTGAAGGTCATCCTGGCCAACGTGGCCGAGCTGCTGTCACGATCTCCGCCGTCGCTGACCAACGTTTTAGAAGCTCCGTCACCTCCTCCCTCTCCTCAGCCGTCCCCCCAGCCGTTTGTGGTCAGCTTTACCTTGGATGTGGACGACGAGGACGAGGACGAGTTGATGATAAGAGATGCTGATGATTTAGCCCCCAGGCCAGAGTCAGACAAGTCTCCACCTGGTGAAAAGGCCAGTAAACTCTCTCCCAGTTGGCCCGGTCAGAAGAAGGAAGCTGTCAGCGTGGCGGCCGACAGTCCGACTTGGGACGAGGTTTTTGAGGACCAAGAAGTAAATGATGACAAAAGGGAGACGGATGGTGACGTGTGCGATGACTTTACGGTGAAACTGGTTCACGAGGAACCGAGTGAGGACAGCTTGGGCGGTGTGGGGGATGAGGAAGTGCCGCCCTCCACAGACGGAGGCGTGAAAGACGACGGAGCCTCTCAGTGCAGCTCCCATATGGATGAGAGCATAGACTTATTTGAGGATGACGAAGCCTTCCTGCAGATGACCATCCCAGATGTCCTCACGCCCAGGACTTCCCCCGTCGCTGACGACATTCCCGATATCACAGAGAGGACGTCTGAAGCCGTGCACACGCCAACGAATCCACGCAGCGCTGCACAGTCAGCTGACGGCACACGGACGATTGAATCATCAGGCACAAAGCACAGAACTCCGACTTTAAATGCCAAGCAGGTAGCTCAGGACACAGACACCCACAACACTACAGAGATGAACCTCACCAGACAAACTAAACCTGTAACAGACAGTTCAATGACAGACACGTCGAGCAGACAGCATTTTAAATCTCCTACAATGCAGGAACATGCTGAACTGTTGGACAGCGCCCACGACTTCTTTTCTGTCAACTTTGACCTTGGCTATTCACTGGAAGACTCTGATGATGAAGGAGCAGCAGATGCTTCTCCTGCCCCTAAACAGCAGACTGACTCTGCTGTGGGTTTGCCGGCTGCTTCTAGCTCTTCTACCCCCTATAGCAGCTTCACGATACCGAGAGCATCCGCCCTGCGTAGCCAACCCAAGTTATCCTCACCACAGTCAGAGCAACGGACGTCTACCAGCGGTGCACTCCCGTCTCCGATCACATCGCCAGCAGTGAGGCGGACGCTCATGCCTGGTCTCAGGAGGCCTGCATGCTTGAAACGGAGACGTCCAGAAGGTGTGGCAGCAGAGGGGCTGGGTGAGGACAACACCACCAGTGAGGAGCCTCCTCATCCAGGTTTGATCAGTCTTCAGAAAACACGATGCCTGAGCTTCAAGTTTCTATAGACTGGTTTATTTAGAGGGCTGCACGGTGGTTCAGTGGTTAGCACCGTGGCCTCACAGCTAGAAGGTCGCCGGTTGGCGTCCCGGTGAGGACACCCGGGATCTTCCTGCGTGGAGTCTCCATGTTCTCCCCGTGCAGCGTGGGTTCTCTCCGGGTTCTCCATCTTCCTCCCACAGTCCAGAAACATGCTGAGGTTAATTGGTGATTGTAAATTGTCCGTAGGTGTGAATGTGAGTGTGCTTGGTTGTCTGTCTCTAAGTGTAGTCCTGTGATAGACTGGTTACCTGTCCAGGTGAACCTGCCTTCACCCTCAGTCAGCTGGGATAGGCTCCGCCCCCCATGACCCTGGTGAGGACTAAGGTGTAGAGATGATGGATGGATGGTTTGTTTTGTTCCAGTCCAGTTTGAATCTGCTGTGAAGACTCGTGTGTTGGTGTCGTCCTCTGTCTCCATAGATCCCAACAGCGACAGTGAAGACGAGGTTGTTCTTCATAAAAGAAGACATCTGGTCAACCCCTTGTCGTCCCCAGAAGTGGTGAGCAGAGCTTGTGGATAACACAGCTACAAGTGACGGTTATTTGTGATTTAATTTCATGAAGCTGCTGATTGTTTTGTCTTTAAAGTGGCAGAACTTTTAGAAAAGTGCTCATGGTGGTGTAGCTGAAGCAGTTTAAAGACATGAATGTTATTCACATGTGAGGAGCTGGAAACTTCTTCTTTCAACCATTTGTCTCTATGAAGCCTCTTTCTGTGGATGTTCCCACACAGAGCGGACAGCCGGCAGCCATGATTGGACTTAAATCACCACTTCTGATGAATGTTGTTTTCTGCATACATAGATATACATATACACATACTTATACATATACATATACACATACATGTACACATACACATACACATACATATACACGTACACATACATATAATACATGACAAACACTGGATCCATAAATGTTCCAGTAAAGACAGGAGATATCTGATTCAGACTCATTTACCTCTGTACGTCACTTCCAAGGTGCCTGCAGTTGTCATGGCAACCAGCTTGTAAGCAGTGACGATGCGTTCTGATAGGTCATCCTGATTTAGAACGAGCTGTGTGGTCCACACTGACAACCTGTTCACAGGTAGAGACGCTGCACACACGGCATTCAAAATGTGAACTTTGTCTCCGCTAGTCCAAGATCACCAGCGACGTGGACTCCCCGTTGGTGGTGAGAAGAAGACCTGCTGCTGCCCTGGACACTGTGAGATCCACCAAACATCACGTCTCCATCTAACACGGTTCATCTGATTTAAACTCTCAGCATCCACTGACATGCAGCAGCCTGAAGCTTTAGCTCGCTCTCTTCTCTCCCCTCCAGTCTGATGAAACGGAGCATGGAGCTGTGTCCGATGACGACTTCCAGACCGAGTCCGTGTTCACGCGCAGAACCACACCAAAGGAACCTCAGAGGCAACGGGTCCAGCGGGCCGGAGCCCAGGTCTGCACGGCAACAGGACGCTGTGATCTGAATCTCAGTCATGTCCTTCACTTCCATGTTTTCATGTTGCTGCACATAAGAACACACATGCAGCCCGATCATGGTTCTGTTGAGCAGAAGCTGACTGGACTTTACACGGTCTGAGCCCTTCTTCCTTCTGTTCGACCTTTAAACCTGCGATGATTGATTTTTGGGGGTAGAGACGGTACTAACGCGTCACTTCCAGCATACTTACGCTCTTTAATCTTAGGTGCTCATGTCTACCAACTCCTGAGGCGGATGTCAGCGTTTTTAGATGCTAAATGCTCCACTCTTGGTTTTTGACCTTTTGCGTGCAGACGGCTGCCTGCCGCGGCTCAAACCAACGCTGTGATAGTGTAGACGGTAACGCCAGAGCTTCAGTAGGACCACAGACTGACCATACGTCTCTGTGAGGCTGCAGCTTTCAGCTTGTTTTCACAGTGTCACTTGATAAATTAGAGGAAATGTTATTGCTGCTGTTTTTCTCTTTTTCGACAGTGAAACTTTCCTCCAAACACCCTCTCTCCTTTTCTATAAATGTCACTTCATTAAATGTCTGTCAGCTGCGCAGGCATCTTCATCAGCCCTGACATTTTCCGTCGCTCCTTTGTCAGCACGACGTACGCCGAAAAGGCCGTCAGTTCCTGGATGAAGAAGCGGCGCTGTCGGAGGACGAGGACGTTTCATCTGATGAAGACGACGGAGACGAGCAGAACCGGTCTCTGGACGGCTTCGTGGTCGACAACACGCACGCCTCACAGGGACTGAATGGTAATTCAGGATTGTTTTTGGGGGATGTTACTGGAGGCTCAATGAATTGTTCTGTGACCTTTACATTCTGCCGTCCTGTCTGCTCCACTCTGCGTCAGACTCGGAGATGCACGCACATTACCTGAAGTCGGTGAGAAGCCCTGCAGCCCAGGGCAAATTCAAGATGTCCTACAGAAACCGTCACAACATGGACATCTTTTCCCAGGTACACTCCAGCTCCAAAGCAGCCAGATCCCAGCCTTTAGCCTCGACTCTGACTCTGTTCCATGTTCTCTGGAATCAGGTGCCCGAGATGGACGAGACGTATGCCGAGGACAGCTTCGTGGTGGGCAGCGACGTGGAGGAGCCGGACAGCAGCGAGGAAGAGGCCGAGGACGTCGAGCTCATGCCCGAGGCCTCGTACGTGGACGGCAGAAGGCAGTACGCCACCAGACGCCGTGTTTTCCTGCACAAAGCCAGAGCGAGAGGCGGCGCTCAGACCGGAGCCGACCCTCCATCAGAACAGAGAGCCGCGACCAAAACCAAACGCACCCGGGTCATACGCATCGACGATTCCAGTGAGGATGATATGGAGGACGTTAGTGAAGGGAAGAGCCTCACAACAGGAGAGGGCGCTGTTCCCGTTTCCTCTGCGACTATCGCATCAAAGGTGTCGTTGTTGAGTAAAGCTCAGAGGAGCTCAGTGAGCGGAGAGCAGCAAAGTGAGAGGTGAAGACGTCTACATGCTTGTTCACATCCACAAACGCTCAGCAGCCAACTGAGCGATAATTCTTTCTCCTCCTGCAGGTGTCGCCAGAGGTTAGAAAATCAACATCTCCTCTCCGACGAGCTCGACTTTACGGAGCCTCAGTCAAAGAAACAGGTACGAGAAAACCAGAGGACACGTGTACGGTCCTGTCCCGTGGATCACAGAGCGTGTATAAATACAAGACATCACTGAAGTAACTCCACTGAGGTTTTGTTTTCCAGACCCTCGCTGCCACTTCTTCCCTGCCTCAGAAGTCCACTGGGCCGGGTTTACCTGTCCCGCCCCCGGCCTCCACCTCCACCGGGTCCGTCAGCATCCTGGTGGACAGCAGCTGCATCAGTGGCGGCGTGGAGCTCATCACCAGCCTGCGTCAGCGACACGCAGCCGCCGTCCACGTCTGCTCGCTGGGAGGCAGCTACTTCATCGTCAGCAACCGCATGGCGGTGGAGAGGCACAGCCAATCAGATTTAGCCGCAACGCAGAACCGGACACAGCTGGCCGAAAGGGTGAAGAGCCTGCAGGCGTTGTTTGAGCGCGTGTGTCTGATCGTGGAGAAAGACCGAATCAAGAAAGGTGAGGTTTTAAAATTCAGGTCTGTATTTGCAGGAAACACTCATAAATAAGATGTTCGTCCCTACAGCTCCCCGAGCTGAGCCGGTGATCCATGAGCAGGGCTGCAGTCCCCTGATGCAGCGGTCGTGGGTTCGACTCCCACTCATGACCCTCAGCTGCAGGTCTCTCCCGTTCTTCTCCCCGTCCTGTCTCTCTACTGCTCTGAATAAAAGCAAAAAGCCCCAAAAACATAACAAAATTTTAAAAATAAGATGTTTTCCAAAACTTCAAACTGTTTTTTATCGTATTTAAGCAGCTTAATCCTCAGATTCATGCAGAAATAAAACTAGAAGATGATTCAGAAGCTCTGTGTTGACGTCCAGGTGAGGCGTCACGTCCATTTCAGCAGACGCGTTTCTACGACTGCACCTTGGCGGCGCTGGTGCGCGCCGGCGTCCGCCTGCTGTGGAGCGACGGTGCCGAGGAGAGCGCGGGCCTGATGGCGGACCTGGCCCGACTGGAGCAGCGGAAAGGTCAGGGCATCGGCGTACCGCTGGAGGTCACAGGGCAGCACAGGGAGGAGGCCCTGCAGGTGTTCCTGAGCATGCCCTCAGTCAGCTACGTCCACGCACTCAACATGAGCCACAGCTTCGGCTCAGTCGAGGAGCTGATAAACAGGTAACAGCAGTACAGTGTCACGTAGCAATGCCTTTCTGTCTTCGGTGTAACATCTCCTCTTGCTCCTCGTGTTCCTCCTGCAGCCCGGTTGAAGCCATACAGAAGGCAGGGTGCATGAGTCGGACCAGAGCCGAGGAGATCTATCGCTTCCTGCGCTACTCCTGCGACACATTCCTCATGAATGCATGAAAAGCAGGAAGAAAAGCTGCTGGTGCACACAGATGGAGAAACGACAGGAATTCCAAATACATCTCCATCATTCCTCCCTTCCTACCGGTGCACCTTGACTTCTCCCTGCCTTTCCTTTGCCTCCTTCCAGGAAGCAGCCAACACCAGTCGCTGCCTCACATTGCTGCTGAAGAGCCTCGTCATTTTTTGCACAAACTGAAGTTGCACAGCACTGGTCTTCATGTAACACCAGGCCTGTGTGATATGGAGCTTACTGTTTATTTCTCGTCATGTGGGTGAGTTCCCTGAAGACTCGATAAAGCAACGCTGTGAGAACAAGAATCAAATAACTTATTGTTAAAATGATGGATACCTTAATATGTGTCAAAGGTCTTTAATAAAAAAAAGGGATTTTTTTTACATGAGAGTATTTTTCAGCTTATTGTTGACAAATTTAAATCTAATCCACAAAGTGATTTAATGCAGTAATATTCACCAACAACCGCTACAGGCTGGTGTTTGGTCGCATTTCTTTTTTGATTCATTTAAACAACTTATTTATTCATTTTTTTTGTCTGTTTTGGGATTGTTGGACGTCCTGGTGGGCTGCACGGTGGATCAGTGGTTAGCATCGTGGCCTCACAGCTAGAAGGTCGCCGGTTGGCGTCCCAGTGAGGACAGGTGAGGATCTTTCTGCGTGGAGTCTCCATGTTCTCCCCGTGCAGCGTGGGTTCTCTCCGGGTTCTCCGGCTTCCTCCCACAGTCCAGAAACATGCTGAGGTTAATTGGTGATTGTAAATTGTCCGTAGGTGTGAATGTGAGTGTGCTTGGTTGTCTGTCTCTAAGTGTAGCCCTGTGTTACCTGTCCAGGTGAACCTGCCTTCACCCTGAGTCAGCTGGGATAGGCTCCGCCCCCCATGACCCTGGTGAGGATGAAGGTGTAGAGATGATGGATGGATTCATACATAATGCACTCATAGCACCTGTACCCGTAAAAGTCTTTTTATTTCACCATTCTCTTACAGAACTACACGAGGACTACTTTGGTGCAACGTATTGTACAGAACACAACAGCAACATTTAAAGCAACGTTTTACAAAGACATCAGGAATCACGTGTCGTCCACCGATAAAGACGAAGCCACACTTTAAATGAAAAACAGAAAAAAAACTACAAGAACACAGGGTTGCAATTAAGGCAAATCTAAAGCCAAGAAAGCTCCTCAGAACTACAGACATGAGGAAAACCAACACGACTCACTTCAGTCCGTACATCATCATGTCTCTGGACGAAGCCAAAGCAGTTCAGACGACCTGCACCCACAGGTGGAGCCGTGAAGGTGTTCACAGCAGCTTCTCCATCTATGACAGTTTAATACGGAGGTGTGAAGGTGCAGCTAATGCTCTCTCTGTGCATTTCTCAGCACTTGCCTGCAGTTTCTACTCTCCACGTGGTAGTTTACTCTTAAAACTACAAAGAAAACATGTTTAGGCTGTGAAATAGTGAACTGGGATGAGTACAGAGGTCACTGTACTGGCTGACACTGTCAGGAGGAGGCTGGAAGAATTATGTAACAGGTACCACAGCTGACTTCTTAAACATGCACAAACAGTCAGATCTGTTCAACTGCAGGCAGCAACGACCTTCTCTGCCTCTAGGTGGCAGGTATCAGTGTACAGGACTGGTCTGACAGCGCCCCCTTGTGGAGCCTGTTAAACACTGTCCTGATGACAGGGAGCGGGAGCTTTAAAATACGTTTTAGACTTTAAAACAAGGCTTCTAATAAGGCATCCGTTTGGCTCGACGCTGTAACAGGATCTACAGCAAAGTACAAAATACAACATCTTTAGAAGCAAACACGTGTTTCTATCCACACGCGTGTTCAACATCATACCATAAGGTGCTTTCTTAGGACGCTGGGTGATGTGCAGAAAAACCACATGACACTGCATCACATTTGGTTTTCGTTTCAAAGAAATCATTTAACATGATTGATTTCTGATTGTTTATGTGGGATTGTAACGGGCCAGAGCCTGTAACAGGGTTATGACAGCAGGCAGATTAAAAAGGCAGGAGTAACCCCACTGGTATTAAAACTTTAGACAGCAGCCGCACGTCGCATCAGATTCCTACGACTTGTCAAAGGAAAGTGAAGCTACAGAGTCGACACTGTTGAACTTTAAAAACGTACATACGAGTACGAATCTATAACATCACCTCAGGATGCTGTAAACAGGATCAGTCGACCGCTAAAAACTGATCAATCACATCAAATCTTTTCATTTTACTGACCGCAGAAGGGAACAGTGCAAACACATCACGCTGTGATTCAGAGCGCCCCCTTCAGGGAGGGCAGGACAGCAGGTTTTGGTGTCTTTAGTTTGTAACGTGGACTCCAGGCAGACTGGGTTATGACCTGAACACAGCAGCACGTCTGTCTGTGACTCTGTTTTAGGACTTCTGTGTTACAGTAACTGCAGCTGTTCAGCTTCCTCATTGACTTTAAACTCAACAAAATATGTACAAACTCAAGGGTGTTTAAAAAGAGACCATATTTACAAGTGCAGCTTTTACCTTAAAATATATCTATTATTTAAATACTACATGTGTCCACGTGGCTGCAGCTCCGTGGACACATGCTTAGAACCAGTTCACCGTTGTCCTGATGGCCACCAGCGAGCACGAGGCTTTCTGCTGCATAGAGCTGCTGGTGGCTGCTGGACGCTGACGGCTGGGCGGCGCCGGCCTACATGCTGCTTGGCTGCGTCTGTGGCTGCAGAGGCTGCAGCTGGACAGACTGCGGCTCCGAGTCCTGAATGCTGCACTCCTCTCCCTCACGCATGTACAACAGAAACAGAGTCACGGTGGCGAACGTGGTGGCGTTCACTGGGAAGGCCCGCAGCAGAGTGGACGTGAGGCCACGCGTGAACACCCTCCAGCCCTCCTTCTGTAAACTCTGTCTGACGCAGTCCATGATGCCGTTGTACTGGTTGACGCCGCCGACTCCATCGGCCTGCAGGCGAGACTTGATCACGTCCACGGGATAGGTGGAGAGCCAGGAGGCGATGCCCGACATCCCGCCGGCAAACAGCAGCTTGAGGATCATGTAGGGGTCTTCTGGCTCGCAGCCCAGCGAGCGCGTCAGCGTGTCGTACGTGAGGAAGTACACGCCGAAGCCAGGGGTCTCCCGGATCAGAGTGGTCACCATGCCGCGGTTGATGCCTCGGATTCCCTCCCTCCGGTAGATTCTCACCAGACAGTCCAGGGAGTTCTTGTACATCTTCTTCTTAGACTTCTTCTCTCCAGTCCCTTGCATCTGCATGCGCGTCTTGGCCAGCTCCATCGGGCAGCAGATCACGCACTGGATGGCTCCAGCAGAGGCTCCAGCCAGGAACTGGTTGAGAGGCGTGTCTCTGCCAAGTTTGCGCATGGCGTTGCCCTGGACACCAAAAACTATGGCGTTGATGAAGGTCAGCCCCATCATTGGAGAGCCGATTCCTTTGTACAGGCCGAGCATCTGCAGACACAGAAAGACATGAGTGTGATCCTGGAGGGAGCATCATGAGTCAGACTGCACAGCCAGACATGGGGAGATAAGGCTCTGGAGCTTCATGCACAGCAGTAACTCATTGATAGAAGTTAATCATTTAGATGCTTCAGCGCTCCCGTTCTTAGTATTGGCTGCCGGCTTGAACTGTTCTTAGATGTAGTTCTGCAACACAATTTAAAAAAGAGCCGTTGAGCTCACAGCCGGTGTGACTGTGTTGAGTTGAGCACTGAATGCTCATGTGATCAGATAATAATGAAGTAATGACTGCTCAGTGCTCATGGCTGTTTATGAGCATGGCGGCGGTGCGATCCATCACAGGAGGGTCTCTCCCCGTTACCGGGCCAACAGACTGAACCGAAGCTTCAACCACAGTGTGACTTGTTCTGTGGCTTCTCAATGACAAACATTTAGATGTACAACACGTGTACGCAGCGTAGAAACTGTAGCAGGAACGGTGTGCTTGTTCTCACAGCTTAAAGAGGAACACAAAGTCTGACGGCACAAGTTGTGAATCAAACTGAACTCTGTCGTCACTCTGAGCCTGCAGGCATCAGTGGGACGGTGAAACATTACATAACCACGCCGCCAAACAGACACGTGTGCTTTCTAACCTTCTGATCCTTTAATGTGTTGTGTTGATATTTATTACATAAATTCAAGTTTTTAACTGAAGTAAGTTTTCAGATTAGGCCGAGAACATTTGATCATTGTGGTGGTGAGGGGATAAAATACACTTCCTGCCTGTGAAGGAGCCCTGAGACCCAGCAGACTCCACTGAGCTCACGTAGCGTGCTGTCCAAAGCTTTATTTAGCCCATCCTCGCTGACCCTGCTGAGACGCCACCCTCCAGCCCCATGTAGGGAACGTGCTGCCTCATGCTCGGCTGGCTGACGGTGCACACGCTGCTCGTAGCCCGTTTGATTTATGACACGAGGAGAAGTTGAAACGCTTACAGACTCCTGCCGTATGATGGACTGGAAGCAGTGAAACGTCCCGCGATAGAGAGGCCTGTCCACATTCTGAACCTGCAGCCGCACCTGTGGAGGAAAGTTCTCACGTTAGAGTCGCACAAAAGAGCGACGACACAACAAGAAGTGCAACACTGGTTCACAGGGACACAAGCAGGCAAATGGAAATGGTTTGTTTCAGAGGTAAAGAAGGAGATAAATGGAGGGTGCAACATGTGGGAGGAACAAAAACCAAAACACATGATCCCAGAATGAAGCTGAATTAAAACAAAAAGCCATCTGTGCTCTTATGTCTACATCTCAAGACAAGGACATTGGGTGAGAGGAAGAAAGACCTTGACCATACTTACTAGGTCACATCTCCGTGGAGAGCTCGTTTATTTCTCTCTCTCATCTACAAACACAGTGACACTGCTGCTGTTAAAGAGCCGCGAGCAGCCGCCGGCTCAGGGACAAATCACAGTGAAAGCAAAGTGCACAAGAACTAAAGAAGAAGTCACAGTTTTAGATTTAAAACGCCCTCCCTCACCTCCAGCCCTTTGAATGGACCATAACAGGAAACTAACGTTTAGGGAACTTCTTACAGAAACATTTCAATGCTGAGAAGCTTTAATTAAACTCACAGTGCACATGAACATAACGATGGTGTAGGATTAGTCACTACATCTGCTCTGTTTTATGGAGATCTGTCACCAGGTGAGGGCGTCTCCTGGATCTAAAAGCTAAAACAGACGAGCTGCTATGAGCTGGAGCAACAGCGTGAACTTGTCTGTCACTGAACAACAACATAAAAAAGCTAAAGCCTGTTTTCTAAACACTCTTCCAGAGGTTTGACTTCCATGTACAGAACTGAGTTACTGACAAACAGCAGCACCTCCAGGCTCATGGTGACTACATGTTTGTAAATGTGCTAAACACGATGATATTTCTTTAACAGTTTGTCATAAATCACTTATTAATAACCCTACAGCGCTCAGACCTCCTGCTCACTGGTCTCTGGTCTCCTGTCGGCTCAGTGCACACTTCATTCAGGCTGGTCTGACGTTAACAGCGAAGCAGTAAATCATGTCGTTGCCTAACGAGAGTAAATAGCAGCGAGGATGGAACAAACACACCCACCTTCACAGTGTCGAATGGATGTCCGACCAGAACGCCAGCAGCACCTGAAAGAAAAGAATCAAGAGGATTTAAAATCACATCACAGTGAAGACTTCTTCAGACCTGTGCACGGCTCATTCAGAACCGGAGCTGGACCAGTGTGAGTGTCCAGCGGTCTGGATCATTCTGGCCTGACAGAAGCGATACGAGCATAAAGCCACGTGTTGATCAGTCACAGGACACGAACGCTGTTTGATTCTGAAGAAGGAAGCGACTTGTGACCAAGTGGCTCACTTTGCAAACAGTCGGCCCATCATAGGAGCGAGCGGCGCTGGTCACTGCACTGAACCCGGTGACGAAAGCTCAGCGCTGTCCTGGCCTTGACCTGTGCTGATGATCCAGAGATCCATCATACGGACAAGTTTCTGACTTATGAAGCACAAGACAGTCAGTCATCAGGGGTTTAAACACCTGGATGTTAGAAACGGGTCGACTAGACGTTAATCTGTCTACGTTTGTGAAAGTCGACTGGATTCTGTCTCATCCACCGACCCTCATATGTCAGCAGCTGCAGCTCTCCGTGACCTAATAACCTGTGCACACTGCTGGCTGCTGCTTTCACTGATTAACCAGAGAATTTCAAAAGAGTCGGGATCCACCGGTTTAGATTCTGGACGACTGACAGACGCCGTAAACGCCAACGAATCTGAACATCTGCTGGTGAATACATGCAATAAAAAACTGTTTTTATGTGTAAATGTTTATCATCCAGCCTGCTTTGGGAAACGTGTTGGTGACATGAACCATCCCAGTGATGCACTTTGAGGATGTGTAGTGATGAATGGCAGCAGCCTGATAGTCCAGGATGAGCTCCTCTAGTCAGATCCAACCTATCATCGCTCTGCAGTCAGCCGCTGTGGGGTGTCGATAGGCTGCAGTTTCTGGCCTTGAATAAAACCAAAACATCTGGCAGCCTTCCCAGGGGTTTGTGGTGAAGCTTCACTGGAGGCCTGCCTGTCTTCTACCTCCACTCAGACAGGATGGTGGATCTGCTGCTGGTGGGAGGTCCCAACAGGCTGCTCCCTTCTCAGGAATGGACCGAGCAGTACCACAGATAAGATCAAAGATATGAATAAAATAATCAGAATTACTACTATCATGATCTCAGAGGAGGTCAGCTGGACGTGTGAGGGTTAAATCCACATAAATAAATGAAGGAGAAGAAGAGCTAGCAGCCACCACTCCCTGTGTGAGCCACAGGTGAGGAATTCACAGAAACACAACCGTCGCTGCTTCCAGGATTTCCGCATTTTTCTATGAGAGAGAAAAAACAACCCGAGCTGCTCCAACTTGGACTTGTAGCCTCTCTGCTGCCGTCTATCTGGTTCTCAGAGCGGACAGCAGAGTGCTCATGAGTGGGTGATGAACGGTGTAATTACAGTGTGAGGTGTCCACGCGTCCCGGCGATGGAAAAACATGGAGCTAAAAGCTAATGCTAGCTCCATCAGCAGCTGCTACTCACCTCCGACACATCCAGCAGCGAAGTCCAGCGCCATTCCCCCGTCAGCGGCTGGAGGATGTCACCTGATGGCTGGCAATCTGGACTAAACAAACTTGTAGTGTGTGGTGGTTCTGTCCGCCCCGGTTCGGAGCTCCGGGCTAACTAGCTGCGCTGAACTCGGTCTCCTCCTGGAACCTCTCGGAGCTCCTCACTGGGCTTTTTCCTCCTCGCTGCTCCTACAGCTGCCGCTCCGGCCAAACCTTTCTATTTCTGTGCGCAGCGGGAGGCGGGGGTTCAAAGTGGCGCAGAAGAAGCGTGTTTGCCCTTTTTAAGGCCGCCCAATGGGACGCCCGGGAGGCAGACAACGCCCCTAGCGGGCCGTCCGCCCCTCGCGCCCATTGGCTGCCGCGGGCCACAGCCGCGCGGGAGGGTCAGCGCTGTCGCGAGCCTGCTTCAAAATCAACAGTGTTATCACCTTGGTCCGGAGCAGCAGCAGGTGACTGGGCCGAGCCTTCTGATAGGACACATCCTCTGAGTTCATAGTCATCAGCAAAGTAACCGGGTCACGTGACTGATGCTGTGATCCGCTCACCCTGACCGGTGGAGGCAGATGTCTGGTCAGCCTGCTGCTGCTGCAGCTTTGTCTGCTGATCAAAGGAAGGTGTTTCTTCCTAAAGTCACCAAAGTTTGTTTGTTGTCAGTCTGTCATGTGCAGAGGTGGGCTGCACGGTGGATCAGTGGTTAGCACCGTGGCCTCACAGCTAGAAGGTCGCCGGTTGGTGTCCCGGTGAGGACACCCGGGATCTTCCTGCGTGGAGTCTCCATGTTCTCCCCGTGCAGCGTGGGTTCTCTCCGGGTTCTCCGGCTTCCTCCCACAGTCCAGAAACATGCTGAGGTTAATTGGTGATTGTAAATTGTCCGTAGGTGTGAATGTGAGTGTGCTTGGTTGTCTGTCTGTAAGTGTAGCCCTGTGCTAGACTGGTTACCTGTCCAGGTGTGAGTGTGCCTGGTTGTCTGGCTCTAATGGATGCGGGGAGGCCTGCCAGTCAAGACAATCCTGTCACCTCCCTACATCCTGCTACCGGCACCATCACCCTGTCACACTTGACCTTGTTCTGCAGCACTCATCAGGTTGTTCTGGTGACCAGATCCTTGCTGGTGTTGTTGTGTTGATGTACGTTGGTTTGGATTAAAGCGTCTGCTGGATGAAACTGTACCAAAGTCCCAAAGTATGGCGGCCCGGAAGGGACATGGAGCAAGAACTATAGGTGACTCCAGTCCGGAGGGAATGCACCTGAACGTTGGATGCCAACCACCAAATCAGAAGAAGAAGACGAGAACTATCGGTATATATACGTCTGGGTCTTTTTGGCAGTATGGAGAATAACAGTTGATCAGATCTATATGTATTCATTTTTTGACCTTTATTTTAGCAGGTAAAAATGTTTTTCTCATTTACAAACGTGACCCGGCCGAGAGGCGCCGGCAGCAACAAACACACATGGAAAGTACAGACACACAAACATAACATGGAACAATAGTAAACAGGAAGCACGGGGCCATTGGTATGTGAGAAAAGATGTGCATGAGGTCTATATATATATAGTATGTCAGTGAAGTCCGGTGTGATCAGCAGGAGCAACAGTCGACTGCAGTCTGTTGGATTGTGAGCTTGAAGGTGGTGAGAGGAGTCAGAGCTGGAAGTCTGAGGGTAAGATGTTCAGTCATTAGCTGCTGCAAAGGAGTTACGGCCAAAAACACTAGAAGTACTGGGGCTGATGTAGTCACTGGACCCAGTAGGGTGAGGATTATGGACGACGTGAGGAAGAGAGGACCGGTAGGGAGGTGTCTGGGTCAGAACTGACTCGTAAACGAAATGAAAGCAGCGCTTTTCTAACTCAAGGAGCAACTCAAAGACGCTTCACACTGTCAGTTATTCATTCACACACAGTCATCCTGGTGGTGGCAGCTCCGGTTGTAGCCACAGCTGCCCTGGGGCAGACTGACAGAGGCGTGGCTGCCATTCTGCCCCCCCGGCCACCTCAAACAGTCCACAGAGGATCCTTCTACCACCGGAGCCACAGCTGCCCTGTCACGCCCCCAAGAAACGAACCAAGAGACAAAGGTCTCCATCTGCTGCAGCGCCTCCAGAAGATTAATGTTGTAAAGCGGCACCATAGAAATGAACTGAATAGAATTTGAGAAACTGCATTTTTAGGCCCCTTTATTATTTTTTAATAAACTGTGACTAACCACTTTCACATGAGCAGCGTCGTCAGCGTGCTCCTCAGCAGCCGGACTCACCAGACGGTGGGCAGTGTGTTTTATTATAATCAGTAATGTAGTATTAACTCGCCCAGTCACAGCCTCACTGTCCTCTCCACTGATCATTGTCCTCCTCTGCTCTGTCTCGTGTTTATTTCCAGGATGAGGCAGAGGCCTGCCCTCCCTGAACCTGCCTCTGCTCAGAGGGCTGGCGATGTGGAGCGTCCTGAGAAGACTAATGTTGAGAATTGGCTCTAGATAAATAAAACTAAACTGAACGTGAGAAACTGCACTTCAGAGCCCATTTGCAGACACGTCCAGTAGCTACAGTGGCACATGAACAGATAGTGAATGCCTGAGAAGAACAAGGAGCTCATCTTTAACGGCATCGAGCTGTACAAACACCTGCCGAGCTGATGATTCCCTAAACACTTTGAACCTTTGATTCATTTGCTTTTGCCACTGTCTGGATGGTCATTAAGAAGTAATAGTTAAAGGGAAGATCCAGACAGTTCAGATAAAACAACACAAGGCAAAACAACCCCCCCTATACACACACACACACACACACACACATATATATGTGTGTGTGTGTGTGTGTGTGTGTATGTATGACTGCAGAGGAGCTGCAGGGAAGTTGTGTCCAAACTGAATTTGCATGAAATTCAGACATCTAGAGCCTGAAAAGCAGCATGTGGATACGTCAGAGTCATCTAGGAGACGAGTGTTATTGACAGGTGAAGTCAACATTGAACCTGATGATCAGCTGATCAAGTGGACATGAAAGAACACCTTGTTGTTGTTGCTGAGCGTTGATGTTCACAGAACGGTCTGTCACAGATCAGAAAGACGGTTCTGTGCATAACCTTGGCACTGCGATGTCTCCTCTGAGCAGTGTGGCTGAGTGCAGGCTGAGTGCGATGCCAGTCATAGCTGGTTTCAGTTCGGCCATGCAGGGATGTCCTTCAGTCTATCTGTAGCCTGTGCCATGTGGGTAATCATGACCGGCCTGCCAAGTGTGACATTGTCCTGTGAGGCCCGACAGAAGTGCTGCACAGGTTTATTTATTGGACTTGGCGTGCATCCTATCACACGTCTGATGACTTCAACCCAGTAGCAGAGAGACACAGTGGAGCTGGTTTCTTTCTGTCATAATCAACTATAATTATCATTCTTTTTGGGTTTTTTTTTTAGATATTTTTTGGCCGTTTTTGGTTTTATTAGACAGGACAGGGGCTGCAGGTGGATCAGTGGTTAGCACCGTGGCCTCACAGCTAGAAGGTCGCCGGTTGGCGTCCCGGTGAGGACACCCGGGATCTTCCTGCGTGGAGTCTCCATGTTCTCCCCGTGCAGCGTGGGTTCTCTCCGGGTTCTCCGGCTTCCTCCCACAGTCCACAAACATGCTGAGGTTAATTGGTGATTGTAAATTGTCCGTAGGTGTGAATGTGAGTGTGCTTGGTTGTCTGTCTCTAAGTGTAGCCCTGTGATAGACTGGTTACCTGTCCAGGTGAACCTGCCTTCACCCTGAGTCAGCTGGGATAGACTCCAGCCCCCCATGACCCTGGTGAGGATTAAGGTGTAGAGATGATGGATGGTTGGACAAGACAGAGAGAGAGAGACAGGAAAGTGGGGAGAAGGACCTGCAGCAAAGGCTCATGAGCAGGACTCAAACCCACGACCTGCGTTGGGGACTATCGCTCCTATACGTGGGACTCCAGATCAACCAGGTGAGCTACAGCGGCACCCCTTTAATTATCCTTCTTGCAGAGAACTGGGCTAAATGCCTGTCATGGCTGCGATGATGCTGACGTAACACTTCTGGTCTTCAGACGTCAGGCGTAAGATTAAAACATTTATCTCCGTCTACTGATAGACGTCCTTATTTTTGTCCTATTTATGAAGCCTGCATCTCAGACAGTGAGCTTTATCTTTACTACCGTCCAGTTGATCCCTCTCAGTGATTAACATCAACACTGTGCTCTGGACATTCACACCAACCACTCGTGGTTTTATCTTAAACTCACAGACTGCCTTTAAAGAAAGACAACATCATGGAAATGAAATATTTTAATTACTGTTGCTGCTCATGTTCATTTTTATGGCGCTGAACCTTTCACAGTTTGACTGGTCACACTGTTGTGGGAACAGAACCGGTGTCACTACTGACACCAACAGTGACTCAGTCCGAGACAGTGAGTCAGAACGAGCAACGCCGGCGTCCTGAAACCAAAGCAGTCGGACAGAATTAGGCCACAATTCATTTATTATTTACACGTTTGCCTTCTCTGTTGCCACATGTTACATGAACAAAGCCGTGTAGTCATTCTGAAGTGTTACTGAATGCAAACCTGATAATCGATGACGTGCATTTTACTTCCACTAAAACCATCTTTACTTTGGTTTTACTGTCTCACATGTTTGACTTGTTCTATATATTGTGTTATAATCATTTTCAAATGTTCCTGCAGTTGGATTTGTTGAATTTTTCTTTATTGACACTATGCACAGAGAAAGAATCGTCTGTTTAGCTGATAGCAGACACATCAGCTTTAGTTCCTCTGAACAGAACACTGATATCCTGCTGAACACACACACCGTGTCTCACAACACGCCTCGTATCATCATATGACGTCTGCCTCTAACGCCACAGCTGCTTGTGGTAATCACGAAGTAGGAGTGTTTGTTCACAACGCTGCTCCTTCAGAGTAAACTAAGACCTGCTAAGTGGATGCGTGGTCGTGTTGATGTTGGTCGTTAGGCAGGTTTTGCAAGGACACATGTTTGTACTCGGCTTTAATCTTCTGACAGAGCTGCAATACGAACACCTCATGAAGACAGACGTGTGGTGCAGCGTGGAGCCGACAAGCAGCATGAAGGTGCATCAACGCCATGCTGAGCTAGACACAGAGAAGCACATCATTGATCCAGTGGGTTACATTTAGGATTTTCTCGGAAAACGTCCCATCATCCCGTCGCTAATTACAGAGATTTAAATGGAAAAAGCTGGATTGGTTTTTGTTCATGTACTGAGAATAATGACACGATGAACGTTGAGCTCTGACGCTCGAGCAGCTAGAAGTTAAAATTTAAAGGCCTGGGTGTCATGAACTGCTTCACTGTCTCCTCTGTCACTTGTTTGCGTCTCTCTTGATGCTGGGCAATCATTGGCTGCAGCGTCTCAATCAGGATCTTCTTCAGCTCTCCTGTGAGGAGAGCTCCACTCGTGTAGTCCTGCAGAGAGAGGAGATCAAACGAGTGAGACTGGATGGGGGGAGGGTGTGCAGACAAGATGCTGAAGAGGAGGACGACGGAGCAGAGCGTGAAGATAAACACTTCAAGATAAAGACTTCCACACAAAGTGAGGAGAACAAGGAATAAAACAGGAATAGAGTAGAATCATCAGCAAACACTAAACACTCCCTGTAGTCAGCTCTCTGTTTGTTTCCCTCCCTGACCTGTTTAATCTTCTCCAGCTGCTCATCATCCTCCAGGAAGAAGGTCAGGTACATGAAGGAGACGTCCACGTCGGCGTTGCCACCGTGCTTCCTGTGCTCCTCCACCGTGTCTTTTCCCCCCGAAAACGCGTGTTTGTTCACCTGAGAGGAGCGATGAGGTCACATAAGTATCGGATTAAACTTAATCTGACGAGGATCTGTTGGCTGGTAGCAACAGGTAACGGCAGCACCTTGTTTTTGATCTGCTTGGGCGTGTCGGTGAGGAAGATGGACGAGTTGGCGTCGCTGGCGCTCATCTTGGTCTGCGCCCCCTGCAGGGCGGGGAAGAAGGTGGAGTGCAGCAGGGCGGGTTTGGGATAGCCGATCCTCGGAGCGACGTCGCGGGTCATCCTGAAGTAGGGGTCCTGGGCGAGGAGAGGAGAGAACACATGTTGGAAACTGACCACCACTTCTTCTTGTAGATTAATCGTAGCAACTGGACTTGCTTGACATAACGAGGGGGAGGAGCAACAAACCCCTAATTGAGACCCAAACTCAGGTGTTAACGGCTCCTTCAGGATATCAGGATGTGGAACTCCCAACTAGTCAGTCAGAGCTGATGGAGCCTCTTGGATGATGGTGGAACGTCTTCAAGGAGCTCAAGCAGGTCCAGTTGCTACCATTAATCTACAAGAATAATCATGACCTGGAGGGCTGAGGATCTTCACAGACATGATGACCACTATGTATGTACTATCCAGACCTGGTCTATGGCGCAGGGGATGAGACACTGGATATCTTTTTTGCCTCCGAAGATCTGTGGGAAGGAGTTGCTGAAGGACGGAGCTGCCTGGATGGCTGGGAAGCTGATCTTTCCTGGATGGATGGAAAAATAATAAACACGTAGCATCTCACAGTCACACGTCAGAATCAGGACGTTGTGCAGCAAGAACAGGGAAGAAGAAAGACAAGAGAAGTGTGCAAAGGACTGAGCAGAAGAAGGGTTCAGTCTCCTGCTGTGTCTTACCGATGCAGTCGCTGTCAGTAAAGCCAAAGATGCCTTTGACCTGGTTAAACGTGACATGCTTCTGGACCTTCACCACATTTCTGTAGAACTCAGGGGACGCACTGTGGAGAATAAATTCAAATGAACACATTAAAAAAACTGAACAAACTGTGGGAAGAAGTTCTGCTCTGACTCGGATTTCATCTCAAGCACTTTTCCTTTCCTCCACTCGTCATGTTTGACCTTCAGAGTGACACAGTTCCTCTGCTGTAAGCGGGAAGCTCTCCATGCTGACCTCAAGTCTGAGCATGAGGTGTGGATCTGTGACATCCTGGTGCAACGGGATGTGTGCAAGTTCTGCTCAGACGAGACAGCTTTCACAACTGTGATGTCGCAAACTGAAGCCTGTCTTGTATGTGCAGCGACGTAGACGGAAACTGTCCGGTAGTTAAAGTCTTGAGAATTAAAATATTTGCATATTCATAGATACTTTTCGATAACGGAGGAGCTTTGTGTTATCTAAAACACTGCTATCCTCGTGATGGTAGTTTGTTTTTGGAACAACCACAGATCATCTTTAATGTTGGTAATCTATCTCTGAACATACTTGGGAGGTGATTTTTAGTGAATCGCTTCTGATGCTCCCCAGGAAACCTCAGCAGTAAGGTCTACTAGATGTTAATATAAAAACAGCTCCTGTCATGTTTTACCCCATGTAGTCGAGGTCAGAGAAGATGAAGGTCTTGTTGACGTCGAAGCCACAGGCGATGATGTCTTTGGCGTTTTCCACAGTGAAGCGGTGGCATTCTTCTAGTGTGAGATCTTTCCACAGATACTTCTCGTCGTCAGTCATCTGGATCACCAACGGGATGTCAAACACATCTTGAAGCCATCTGGAATGAGGAAGCAGTCGTAGATTAGAAACAGCTTATAACAAATGAAGGACTGAGATTAAAATGTGGGACGGTATCTCGCTTATACATGACATGACATCCAGCTACAGCTTTAGTGTCTCTGTGGTATTCTGGTGGTTTTCAGAGGTTGCAGAAGGAGAACTCACTTGGTGAAGACGAAGGGAATGAGGTGACCAACGTGCATGGCCTCTGAGGATGGACCTCTGCCGGTGTACAGATAGAAGGACTTGTGTTTCTCATAGGCGTCCAGGACTTGGTGCATATCTCTGCCAGGAACAGGAACAGGAATAAAAAGGGGAATTATTTACTGATACTGAACCTTTTGGCCGGCACAGCACCTTGGCTGCCCACACAACCAGCCGTGGGACAATATTTACTCTAAGTTGGTAAATTAGGAACAACAAAAGACAGGAAAAGGTCAACCTGAGTAAATGACACTGACCTGTGTGAAAAGAAGATTCCTCTTCGTAGGAAGCGATGCGGTTTCTGTCCTGAGACTTTTTCTATTCTGTCCACCAGCTCCTGATCAATCTTGCTGCTGCCAAACCGCACTGAGGACAGACAGTGTTCATTAATTTATTACTGATCACCCTTCATGCCTTTACACTCAAAACTCACGTAAATCTCACCTATGAGCTTGTCATAATCGACTCCTTTGGCGTTAGCGGTGGCGACGTTCCACGGGTCGACTGTGTCTTCGTCATTAGCGCCATCTGCTGCCGGCCCGTTGTCCGACATCACCACGTTCTCTGACGGCGGGCATCCGGCTTTGTAATCGTTTCCTGTCACCTGTTTGTAGTCCACTTTTAACTTGAGCAGCAGCTGGACAGCAGCATCGATTTCAGCCTGAGAATGGAAACACTGCTATAAGATAACACAGCACTGTCCTTAAAGGGTCAGTTCATCAGAATCATACAGCTGCACAAGCTGTGGTTACAGATGAGATTTCTGTTCTCCCCGATACAATGGAAATAAGCAGAAAGCTAACTGCTGACAACATTAGTTATGAAACTTAAGAAAACTTCAGTTGCAACGTGTATTCCTGGAAACGAACTCGGGCAACAGCTGGCATCACAGTGGACGTAGCTTTAGCTTATTATGGGATACATTTTTCCTGAAAACTCAGTTTTTAAAAGTTATTGGGATTAGCTTGTTCTATATAATGTCAGAATACAGTGAAAAATGTGGATCAAATGCTCTTTCAAACAATGACGTAGTCGACAAATATGAGAAGGTTGTGAAAACAGTGAGATGACGCACCTGAATGTCTCGTTTTGTCCACAAACCAAACACGACGAGGAAAGGTGAGGAATAAAACCACAAATGATTAACATTTAAGAACCTGGAATCAGAGAATTTGGACTTTTCTCTCTTAGAAAAATGACTCAACCCAACCGACTGATTATCAAAATAGATGCCAGCAAATCGACCTGTCCAGGTGAACCTGCCTTCACCCTGAGTCAGCTGGGATAGGCTCCGCCCCCCATGACCCTAGTGAGGATGAAGGTGTAGAGATGATGGATGGATGCCAGTTAATGTCATAGTTGGTCAAATAATTACTTAAATCACTGAGGCTCTACAACACACAGTCCACCACGCTGATGCAAACATCTGGACAGGATCTCTACCATGGTATGGACAATATGGCAGATCATCTGATGGTGGATCACTTTGTTTAGTATTTATTAGTATATAGTAAACACAGTGTTGTCATATTACTCAAACCCTACTGTGAGCATTTCCATTAAATCCCCCACATGTACTGGGACGGCGGCCAAATCTCAATCAGGTAATTAAATCACTTACTTTATCTGCTTTCGCCGTTTTCAAGGACCTGACTGTTTCTCCCTGAGCATTCAGCTTCTCGTACAGCTCCATGGGGCTCCTGGCTCCGTCCCCGTCTGCCTGACAGTCTGTCATCTTCTCCACCCTGTCCAGGTGACATGAGCAGGTTAACAGGCTGAACACACACGTAGGAGTTAAAGGTACACGTTCAGACTAGCATCAGGTACAGGGTCAGGCTGACAGGACTGTCTCCTCCAGCATCTCCCTCCATGAGAAGCTGTCCATATGTGAACACAGCACAGCTAACTGGGCACAGCTAGCTAGACGTCTGAAACTACCGACTGCTCACATTTAACCGCCGCCGCCGCATTTCATAAATAAATCAACAGTTTACATTAAATAACAGAATAGCTGCTGATATTTATGGTTAAATATAATGGCCTGCCGGCATACCGTTCAGTATTCCTCACGCACAGCTGACAGCTCACTCATTCAACTTGCATCAGCCTGTGTGATGCGGTGTTCGGGTCAAACTCTTCCCAGGGCAAACAAGCGTGTTCATTAGTTCCGCGGTGAATAAATCGGCGCGAAAGTTCGGCTTTGGGACTTCTGTTTAATACAGATAACACATATGATGTTTTTGGATATTTCTCAAGGTAATTCCGCAAGAGTTTAATCTAAATACATTTAATACGTGTGTGAAGAGAAGGACCGCCGCTAAGTTCCAAGCGGCTCTCTTCAAAATAAAAGCTTTTAGGCATAGACCGAGTCTGATGTCGGTGGACGAATCGAAGCGCGGCTTTTATTCTGAAACGGTGCACCTTTTACTCAAATATATTTGCGGGACGTTGGAGCAGATGTTTGACTGTATTAACGCCAAGAAGTCGCTGATTCCTCCAGACCACAGGTACAGTGTTTAAGGCCGGATTCACCGGGTGACAGTTCTTTGTTTGCAGTCTACAACCGGCTTGATAGAAGAGCAGACAGTTAGCTAAATGTGCTATACTGGTGGGAGTTAAGGATCACAGCGTTAGTATGTGACACTGGAAACACAACACAGCCACGGAAAGATCACGTTAATAATAAATATATACATGTCCACTGGAGCTTTAACTGAGCTGCTGCTGTTGGTTAGCTCCGTCCCAAAGCAGCAAGCTAACTCAGCTAGCTTAGCACGCAGCTAATGTTAGTTTATGCTAACTGTTAGCTGTAACCTGACGTTGTGAAATAAACTCAACCAGTCCTGTCCTTCCTCCTTTTCAATAAACTGGGAATACACGTTCCTTCTTCTTCATACTTCTTTATTTTCTCTTGCCTGCTCCAACAAAACATTTGTAAACGTGTTGATAGACTGACAGGTGACAGGTGTTGTGGCAAAAAAGTTTTTAGTGTTTTATATTTAAATTTTTATTTCATTCATTGTGTTAAAACAAAACAATTAAACGTGACACAAACATTCCTCCTGAATGAACGGTAGCAGAAAGAAGATTAATCTGATGCTATCTGCCTCCTTTACCCAAAGAAATTACAAACAGCATCAACAACACAACAAAACAATAATAATAATAATAATAATAATAACATGAACTAGTCCTTCAGAGCTGACAGTGTTTCTGAATGCCTGTACCTGCTCTGTGCTCCAGATTATAACCCATCCACCTGTCTTCTACCAGCTTTAAAGGACACATTCAGCTCATAAAATTCAGTTTTCTACTTGCAAACGTTTAACTCGTGTTCCTACGCAGTGACTGAAATGTCATTAATGCATCAGAATGACTGATTTTATTCACAAGGGTTATACATTGAAGTTCATAGCTGTTGGGACACCTACAATCGAGCAGTTTCTTTATTTTATATATATATATATTAAGCCCATTTGTAAATCATTTTAGTTTCCATATATAAACAAGGCCGTCAGACAAACACATGCAGCTTCAACATCAAGAACAACAGGATTGTGATTCGTGCCTGATTACACTATAAACTACTTTGGCCACAATTATTCAGTCACAAGAAATGTTTCACAAAGACATAGCTCTACTGTCACAGTGGGTTTATAGTTTTGTCTAAGAAAAGCAGAATATAAACCAGTGTTTGACAGGTGATCACTGACACAGCTCTGTGTACCACCTTCAGCTGTAGGAACACAAATGACCACTAGATGTCAGCATGAGGCCTGTAATGCTTTGACCACACTGATAACTCACCTGTTGCTCCTTTATTTTCAGAGCCACGAGAAGATGTCTGCATTAGTCGACTATGAGGACTCAGACGATGATTCGTTGGATCAGATCGAGGAGAGAGCATCAGCCGTCCACGCTGTATCTTCTGAACAGAACCGAGAAGTTGTGTCGTGTGAAGACTCCGAGGCAGCACCCAGTCCTACAGGTTTCACTCCTGAGCGGACAGCGTTGGAATATCATGGAAACACCTTAGACAGAACCAGTCCTTCCCTACATCCTCATCCCCAGCCGCAGAGCTGCACTGACTGGGAGAGACAATATTGTGGTTCTGGGGACACTGCAGCTCCTCTGAGTTCACCTGAGGCTCAGGGGAGGATGGCGCCCCGGCAGGCCCTTCCTTGCATACCCCAAAGCTCCAGCGAGGCTTCAAACCCAGCAAAGAGACAACTAACTGCCCCGCCTGGAGTCAGACCGTACATCCCTAAGAGGCAGAGACTCGCCGCTTCAGTACAGACAGTGGACCCAGAGCATACAGCAGAACAAGTAGAACAAGGGAACCAGACAAGGGAAAGCCACATTCTCTCAAATGTATCAGCAAGACTGAAGCCGTATCTCACAGAAAATCCCAGCGCAGCGGGGATCCCCAGGAGGCCCCTGATGAGCCTGGGGGGCCACCAGGGCCCGGTCAACACGGTGCAGTGGTGTCCAGTGCCTCATCTCAGTCATCTGCTGCTGTCCGCCTCCATGGACAAGACTTTCAAGGTAATAACAGCCACAGATAGACTTTTGCTTTCTCCAGAGGTTATGTCCAGCATCACCTGACCTGCAGGGTACAGAAACAGGATTCAGTGTTTGGTTTGTGCGAAGCTTTGAAGACAGGTTTCTGTGTAATTGACATCCATCCATCATCTCTACACCTTCATCCTCACCAGGGTCATGGGGGGCGGAGCCTATCCCAGCTGACTCAGGGTGAAGGCAGGTTCACCTGGACAGGTAACCAGTCTATCACAGGGCTACACTTAGAGACAGACAACCAAGCACACTCACATTCACACCTACGGACAATTTACAATCACCAATTAACCTCAGCATGTTTGTGGACTGTGGGAGGAAGCCGGAGAACCCGGAGAGAACCCACGCTGCACGGGGAGAACATGGAGACTCCACGCAGGAAGATCCCGGGTGTCCTCACCGGGACGCCAACCGGTGACCTTCTAGCTGTGAGGCCACGGTGCTAACCACTGCTCCACCTGCAGCCCCGTGTTTAAACTTGCTGATACAGTTAAATTAACCCATTAATTACTTACACTTTTTTCCATGTGACTGAACGTGCTGCCTCCTCTCAGGATGCTCAGACCTCGTTACTGTTGGCAGCTCCATACTGTGGTTTTTTTACAGGGCAGAAATCCATTCATCAGTACAGTTTCAGGCAGGTGCCAAGTGGAGCAGGGAGGTCTGTGGGGATAATCACTTACCTGACATTCATTGTAATTGGCACAGCGATACAGGCAGAGGCGTAATATCTGCCCGGCTGCCTCAATTTATAAATGTACCACCACAAACCGCTTTCTGTGGAATCGTATCTGTCACTGTCGGTTGAATGTATGTCAGGACCCACGGGACTCCCGATCGCTCTCTCCCCTCTCGCTCGGTGTCTCACTCTCTCTGATTCACCGTCCTCCGTCCCTTCTTCTTTATTTCACACCTGGAAAACAATCCTTCATTACCTTGTTGTAAAGGTCAAGCCATGCAGCTATCTGCCTACTGGTGACAAAATATTTCTACCCTGGTATGAAGTCACGCACCCCACCAATATCCTCTGAGAACTCGCAATAATTAATAATTTAAATATGAATGAGCTCATTTGCATAATCATACAAGTGCGGCGGCGCTATGGCAGCCACCTCCTCTGGCACCTGCAGAGGGCTGCTCGGAGCAGATGGTGGAGGCGAGCAGGGGAAGGCAGGAGAAGACCTGGTTAGTATGCAGGATGATGTCTCCTGCTCCATCTCAGGCTGCTCCACCAGTAGATGTCTGTGGTACCAGTAGATACAGGAAGGCCGTTTGCTTACCAGTGAATCAGTTTGCATGCTTTGGGTTGTGAAATTCCAGCAGGTTCACTGGATGATTTCAGCCGTAGCACGTATCGGCAGTGACTCCTACAGCTTATTGACTTAAGATGCTTGGACAGACATTACTGTATTATTATTATTATTATTATTATTAGGGCCTGGCTGATGTGGATCATTTGAGGCTGATTCTGATATTTGGCAGAAAAAATTCCGACAACCTATTA